CGCGAATTTATGTAAAAATGAAGTCTAAATCACCAAATAGTCTATCATAAAATACCGTTGTCAATATCTGCATCTATAGGAAAACGAATAATTTCGGTACAAAAGTTGTAAAAATCTACTTAATCGTATTAAAAAAATTCTCACAACATTAATGTTTCTTATACGATTGTACATTTCTAAATCAATGACATAATCACGTTTACATAGTTCTCAACTTAATATAATTAAGAAACAAAAAGGCTTATGGGTGAAGTCATGAGATAAATTTAGACTTGGGGCCATTACGAATTTATTGTGATACTATATGGCCATTTTTTACAGTGTTAAATACTGTATTACAGTAGAAATAACTATGTTAGGATAATTCTGTGAGACTATCCTTATTTAGTTAACTTCTAATTTGGATATACTGTGTTTTAATATAGCACTGACTTTTTATGACAGTGACACTTATACACATACTGAAATTAATAGTTATAATAGGGAATGCAAATTATCTACTTACAGTTCGAATCATTGTGATTGTAATTTACTTATGGTAGACTGTAAGTTATCATGGAAATATTCCGTGATAGGACATATCGTAATCTGACTATTCTGTATTAGTCATTACATGTCTATGTTTGTAAATACTGTTGTCTGCATTTAAGGGAGCAGTAGCTAAAATTAATATCTAATTCAGTAAATGATTCTAATGTTAATTGTATTAACTATGACTCATGAACTATTGAGGAGTAGTATATAAATGCAGTATATCGTGAAATAAAGAGAATTCTCCAACTTAGTGTTTAACGTAAAATACGAGGCGTTTAAGTCTTTGTGTAGTCTGCTAGTAGAGCAAAAGTGTTCGTGATAGTACAGATATCGTTCCTTGATACGTGGTTCAAGGAATTGGCTTTTTGATCGTATATTGCGTTATCTTGTTGCAAAGCTGTTTTGTGACACCATTATAATAAAATTAAAGAGATTAGTTGTAATCAAAAGTTATGAGCTTAAAAGTGAAATTACTTTTACTTCAAGAGTAATTTGCAATGTTTTGCAAATATGGGATGATAATTGAATACAGATATAACCGCAAAATTTAAAAGTACAGTATAGTAACACATACATAACGATGAGTTTAAAACCTATATGCTTTTAATTAAAGAATGTGGACGTGAAATAATCTGTTTAGATTATAGTAAAGCTACTACTGCACTATAAAAAAAGATGTTGTGAAGTTGAATTGTTAGACTAAATTCACTTTATTTCTTTATAATTTTTTTATGCGAAAAGTAAGACTTAAAAAATTTGTTTTTCTTGCCGCAGATACGATGTCAATGATATCTCATGCATAATCAAATTTTATGAATTTGCGACTTATTGATAATATTTTGTGAATTAAATTAATACTGGCAATAATTACATACGAAACTTGATACAACGGTAAAGCGATCAAATTTTTTGGTGGTGATATGATAAATTGCAAACTGTAATAGCATTTCACTGCTGAATAATATATTTTGTTAAGGTGAATTATATAAGTGTTCATTTTAGTTAAAAGTAATCATAATAAGTCATTGATGAATATAATTCTTCAAATACTGTCATATTTCACATAGTTATAGAAACAGACAAAATGTCCAACGTATTACACTTGCCACTCCTAAAGTAATGCTATTGATTTAATAAATGCTTTGAAAGCTCTTCCTAGATATTATACACACCTTCCATTTGGATCTTACAGATTTTGTCTGTATACTGACTATTAGTCAATTTCAAGAAACTAAATAATCTAATTACAAATTAGGGAATCTTCTCTATTATAAGTAACTTGTGCCATTTCGGATACTGGTATATTTGCAGAGGAACACAATTGGGTGATAATTCGCAATTTTACTAGTAGTCAGATGTATTTTGCGCAATTATGATATAGCACGGTGCATAAATGTTAACCACTTAATTTAGTCACTTACGCTTCACGGTGGTTCGTACCGTGACAAGGCGTTTTAATAACTTTAAAATTATTTAAAACGAAACTAACCAGATATTGATGTCAAAGGAGTAATAATTTGCTCTGTATTAATTTGATATGATAGTAAACAATTCTAAACCTACAAAGGCTTGTTACTGCACCATACCTTATTATCATCTAATTTACATTATTATAAAGATAATAAATTTCTGATGTTTATAAATAATCGATATTAATTTAATTGTGCTGTCAATTTTAAGAAATCAATAACCGGTGACGTCAACATCTATTCTAAATTTGATTTAGAAGACACATTTTATATATTTAAAGTTTGTGATTAATGTATAATTTCTTCCTTGTGTAAAATTGATGATAGTAAATATTTTTTTATCTTTCCTATATCCATGACCTCCCATGAATGAGACAGCACATGAATCTTTAAAATTATATTACCGTTATTGTCACGGTACCTTTTTTGCCGTGATGAGTTAGAAGTGTTACGGTGTTTGTTATTGATGGAAATTGATGTGTTATGGTGTTTGTTAGTAAGGTGTTTTGATGATCAACTGTCCCTAGTTATTTTGTATGTATTCGAATAGGAGGATAGACTAGGGAAACATAGATATGGATGCTGTGCAATCTTTGTGTTAGAGAGTTGTTTATGCTGACACGATTTGTAGTCGTGTTGTAAGATTATTACTGGATAGGAGGTTATGGTTGTGAGATCTCCTACGTGAGATTAATGTAAATAGTAAATATCTTAGAAAGTATATAAAGGCTAACTGTGATGTAATGTGGACGGGGAGAAGAGCATAGAAAAGAATAAACTGTAGTGATAGTTATCTGTTTAAAACC